AATGGAAGTGACAATCGTCGCTACTCATCTTCCCTTGCTACGAAGGGCGTTGGACACCTCGCTCGCAAGGGTACTGGTGGCAGATCTTCCGTGAGGTATGGCATTTCTCTCTATACTAAGGGTTTTGCTTCCTCAAGACAAAAATTGTTATTTGTGTGTGTGTGTTAGGACAACCTAAGCTTAGTCGATTTAAGCTTAGATTATAGCTTTCATGAAATTAATTGGCTTCATGGAGAAATGTATCATCTTTTAGGGGTTTTCTGTAGCCTCATTATAGAGGATTTGTCAAGTTTGCTTGAGACATTTCTCCTTTGCTTTTGGCAGTGGCATTGTAGCTACGGTGTTTGGAGCTACTGGATTTCTGGGTCGCTATCTTGTGCAGCAGCTAGGTGAGTTGGATGATTCAGTCTTGTTCTTCCTTTACATTTGTTGGGTTTCTGATTACTTTCTTCTGAAATTACTTTCTTCCAGCCAAAATGGGATCACAAGTGCTAGTTCCTTTCCGAGGCTCAGAGGACAATCCTCGACATCTCAAGTTGATGGGAGATTTGGGACAGGTACTGTTTTCTTTTGGAATACTATGCTTTGGATCACCACATATTTCTAATGTATGTTTGTTTGTTTGTTTGTTTCTAGGTAGTACCGATGAAATTTGATCCGAGAGATGAAGACTCTATTAAGGCTGTCATGGCAAAGGCTAATGTCGTTATCAATCTTATTGGTACATATTTTGTCTATATTGTTACATCTTTTAAAGATCAATACTGTTCTTTTACCTATTGGATGATATCTACTCTAATCCTCAGGAAGAGAGTACGAGACCAGGAATTTCAGTTTCGAAGAGGTGAACCATCACATGGCCGAGAAACTTGCATTGGTATGTGTGAACTTCTGAAATGAGCCACACATTTTTGACCCATCTGGACGATACTGTCTGCTATGGCATATTATTTTTTGGTTATGTCTAATTAGATTGGGGATTGGTTGCTTTGTTGTTTCAGGTGGCCAAGGAACATGGTGGGATAATGAGATTTATTCAAGTTTCTTGTCTGGGAGCTTCTGTATCATCTCCCTCAAGAATGCAGAGGGCAAAGGCTGCTGCTGAGGAAGCTGTCTTGAGCGCGCTGCCTGAGGTAAACTTATCCCAATTTTCAGCACACATAACGCTCGCTTCTGTAATTATCATCCTAATATATGATTGCCTATTGTTATGATTCTACTTATTCAGATATAAGGTAGATCCTTTGCGTTTTTTTTCTTGTTTAGAACTGGGAAACAGTATATGATGTTATTATTTAACTCTAAAATCTCATAGAATTTTAAAAGAAAAAATGTAGGCTTGCATATGCTTTTTGTCATAAGCCTGCTGGTTCTAGTCATTTCCTGATTTATATTTGTTTCCTAGGCGACAGTAATGAGACCTGCGACCATGATTGGTACAGAGGACAGAATCTTGAACCCCTGGGCAATGTTCGTTAAGAAATATGGTTTCCTCCCGCTCATAGGTGGTGGGACCAACAAGTATGTCCTAAACCTTGTCTTATTCTTTCCACCCGTTCATAGCAACTTACGGTGACTATGATCCATTTCTTTCCCTAACAATAAATTCATTGCAGATTCCAGCCCGTATATGTGGTCGATGTTGCTGCTGCAATTGTTGCAGCTCTAAAGGATGACGGCTCCAGCATGGGAAAAACCTATGAGCTGGGTGGTCCAGATGTCTTTACACCTCATGATTTGGTAAATTCATATGGTCTTTCATTCTCTCTGTTAATGTGGCAGATCAATGGGCTTGATTTTTAAGTTTTACCTTACAGGCAGAGATCATGTTTGACATGATTCGTGAATGGCCTAGATATGTGAAGCTTCCGTTTCCAATTGCTAAGGTAACAGTGGTAGAAACTTCCTTGATTATTGATCTGCTAGTTTGTCAGTCAAAGCGTATCTGCAGCCATTAAGAAGAACTATAGAACCCTAAGTATTTAGGGATTCTTTGTTAGTTTTTCAAATGGAGTCATTTTCATATATGTCACGTTCTGTTCTAGGCAATGGCGGGTCCTCGGGATTTCATGGTGAACAAAGTCCCCTTTCCTCTACCCTCACCTCAGATCTTCAATCTGGATCAAATCAATGCGCTTACAACCGATACACTTGTATCTGACAAGGGTTAGTCATTTTTTTCACAGATGTGAAATGTGTTGTCTTGCTAAACTGTTCTGAGTCTCACTCCTTTATTATTTGATACAATGGCTATTTTCAGCCTTGACGTTTCAGGATTTGGACCTTGTCCCTCATAAATTGAAGGGATATCCAGTCGAGTTTCTTATCCAATATCGCAAAGGTGGTCCTAATTTCGGTTCTACTGTCAGTGAAAAGATACCAACAGACTTCTACAACTGATGCTGCTACTACTCAAAGGTCGTTTTTCTGGACTAATTTTTGTTTGCATGCAAGTGTCGCAGTGAAATTGCGGAAACTAGATTTTGGTATCTTGACTTGTTTCATTTGCTTCTGTCAATAATGAAATGGTTCTCCTCTTTGTTGTGTTCTGGAAAAAAGTATAACCCATCAACATGATCATAAGCTAAAGAGGGGATGTCATCTGCCTTGAAGGGGTGATTTGGCCCCCTTAGGAATTAAGCAGTTCCTGGTTCGTTTCAAACTTTATGTGCTACTATACTCTTGAGTATAATTAAAGCCATGTGCTTTGGTCTTTGGATTCCATATAGTTCAGAGTTTTATGTTTCACTTCGGCAAAGACGTTCCAATTGTATCTGTGGTGCACAGACTAAGTTAAAACCCTGAGAAAATTGAAGTACACCTTCAAGGATGGTTTGACTCGGTTATATTTAAACGTAGGTTATGAATCTAGTTATGCAAATCGTTGTAGAAGAAAGTAATGAACTTTGGGAAACCTCAAGAACCAAGCAAAGCATATAGAGCTAATATCATGTCAGAAGGAATAAGGCAGACACATATTTAGTTTTCCAGAAAAATGGAAGGTGATGAAGATGATTATCCCGGGCCTGAGACTGGTATTGGTGGAATAAACTTGAACGGGAGAAACTGAGACTGGTATTGGTGGAATAAACTTGAACGGGAGAAATGTCGGGGTTGTGATGGTGGCGCCTAGGGATGTAGACGTAGCGAGTCAGAGTGTTTGCAGAATCAGCATGTACTTGAACAGCAACGTTCAAGGGACATGTGGTTCGGCTCTGTTGGGTAGCAAGGTAAAGCTAAGAGACCCTGGTGTTCATTTCTTTCCTTATTGATGGCTTAAAAATGACCTCAGACGAGGACGGAACAAGACAGAAGGAGATGAGGTTGGTTAAAGTTGGGTTAGGTGTGGTCTGTCTCCTTAACGTCTTTCTAGGACTCGTTCTCTTACTCTCCCCTTGGCTCTGGAAGGAAACCGAGTCCATATAGTGGTAAGAAGAACAATCTTGTCCGTTATTGTTTCTTACTCAAGTATCTAAATACAGTATATCTTAAAACTTAGGATTATATTTCAACAAGTTGATATCTGTAAGGGTAAAAAAGAACTGTTATTTTTACATTTTTTTTAGATTGGATCGAAGAACGTAAATGTCAGATTCCATATCATGTAAATTAGGTAGAAGTCTAGTGGTGCTAATGTCACAAAAGTCACCGAGGCTACCGGATTCTGAGTTGTAATAAGCACTACATACCAATCACAATCTCAGCGGCCGGATTATAACTACTTTAAGTATTGATTTTAAAAGAGTTTGTAAGTATCAATCGGAATCTTTCTTTCTAAATATGCATTTGCCCGGTCACTCATTGATGATGAGAGGACCATTTCATCTGATTTTATTAATTCCATAATATTTCAAGAATAGTATATATTTCAACTATGTCAGTTCATATTCGAAGCCCACTTATGCAAATCACCATCTCCACCAATTGTAAGAAAATAACTGGAACTTGAAGCATCAAAAGTTAAGAAAAGTATATTTTTAATAGTTGGAAGAAAGTTAATGCTAGGCCATTACTACTCGCATCAATCTGTATTATAAAGAAATAAATAATACTCAATGTTTAATGCAAGTACTTGGGTGGTGCTATCCATGTGAGATGTACATTGGGGAGCACAATCTTCCCCACTCCCACGGCCACGTTTGTCCCTTTGAAGCTTCTGTTTATTTTGTGTTTGGTGTTGCTCGTTTTGTTATTTATTTATGACTATGATGCGTGAGAGATCCCCATACGAAGTCTTCTCCTTTGAACACTTCAAAAATTATATACAAACTAAGTTACTCAGTCAAAAAAAAAAAGTTACTCAGTCCCGAGACTCCCGACACCGACGCCACGCATTTTGAAGTTCAGGTGTAGATCTCCAACGAAAATTCGACATGTATACAAGCAATTAGTTAATTTTAGGGACATATTTTACCACTATATCTAGACGGTAATAAAAGAAAATCATAGAAAAACAAACTCAGGACTTCAATTAGCTAAAAACTAAAAATTCCGAATAATCAATTAGTAAGAAAGTTCAGAAGCGAATGTCTCTGATTTAATTTCGGAGTACTTTCTGCTCTTGTAACATAACTTTTTACGAGCTTACTATTATCACTTAGTTGGACATTATGATGAATATCTCTTTGGTCCCAGTGAAAAAAGATTCCAAACTTTTAAAGTTCAAATATATATTAGTATGAAAATAACACACGATTTAAACAGAGTGGTAAAGAGTTGTGTACTCATGGAAATACTTAATTAGCGGGAGGAGGGGAAAGTGAGTCAAATGATGGGCTTAAACTTGAAGTAATCATCATGTTACAACGTGTTATTGCTATTAACTTTCGTCGTTCTTGCGTAGAACACCCTATCACATCAGTACACGTGGAGTCATTTCCACGCGCTCCCCGGAATAATCACGTTATGAGGGAAGAAGTTAGAGTCAAAAAGGTCCAAAGAAGGCGAAGGTTACAATCAAGACCCTCGTAGCGGACGTGTCAGCAGAGAAATATCATACGTGGCAAGGTCCCACTGGTCACCGACAAGTAGAAGAAGAACTTACGGCGTAGATTTAGCCGTCCGACTAACGTGCGCTCTCAAATTCACATTAAATACTCTGTTTTTCTTTTTTCTTTTTATCTCTCTCATCGATCTGAAAACAAGTCTTCTTCCCTTTCAGACCATCTCTAGATCTTAAATTCTTTGCCTGAAGAATCAAAAACCTCTTTTACTTTGCTCCGTATCTCGCGGATCCTTGTCGGTTCTTAACTTGGTGTTCTTTTTCCTCTGCTTCTGAGCTTCGATCTAGCTTCATAGAACCTCTTAAGGATTTGGGAAGTATCATCAATGTTGTGATCTTGAAAGACTCTGCATGACTCCGAGGGTTACGATGAGGCGTCGCTCAGCAGAAGCTGCTCCTACAGAGCCAACGGAGAAAGGCAACGGGAAGAATCAAACCAATCGAATCTATTTGTTGGTGTCTTTATCACTCTTCTTCTGGGCACTCCTCTTCTACTTCCATTTCTCTGTCATAGGGAGCAGCAGTAACATCGAGAAACAGATCCACCTTCAACCTAGCTATGAACAGCCTCAACCATCATCATCATCATCACCAATCTCTCTTCGAGTAGATAAGTTCCCTCTCCAGCCTCCCAAAGAGAAAGAGCCTTTAGTTAAACCAATACTCCCTCCTCCTGCTCCAGTAGCCACTTTTAAGCCACCTGTCATCGAGGAGGAGAAACAGGAGTTTCCTTTTGTAAGAGCGTTGAAGACAGCAGAGAACAAGAGTGATCCCTGTGGAGGGAAGTACATTTATGTCCACGATCTTCCCTCCAGGTTTAATGAAGATATGCTTAGAGACTGTAAGAAGCTTAGTCTCTGGACCAACATGTGCAAGTTCACTACCAACGCTGGCCTTGGCCCTCCTCTTGAGAATGTTGAAGGCGTCTTCTCTGATCAAGGCTGGTACGCTACCAATCAGTTCGCTGTTGACGTCATCTTCAGCAACAGGATGAAGCAGTACAAATGTTTGACTAATGATTCTTCCCTCGCTGCTGCTATCTTTGTGCCTTTTTATGCTGGCTTCGACGTTGCTAGGTATCTCTGGGGATATAATATCTCTACCAGGGATGCTGCTTCTCTTGAGTTGGTTGATTGGCTCATGAAGCGCCCTGAGTGGGAGATCATGAGAGGTAAAGATCATTTCCTTGTGGCCGGTAGGATCACTTGGGACTTCAGGAGGTTGTCTGAACAAGAGACTGATTGGGGGAACAAGCTTCTCTTCTTACCAGCTGCCAAAAACATGTCTATGCTTGTGGTTGAGTCTAGTCCTTGGAACGCTAACGACTTTGGGATCCCTTACCCAACCTACTTTCATCCAGCTAAGGACTCTGAGGTGTTTGAGTGGCAAGAGAGGATGAGGAACCTTGACAGGAAGTGGCTTTTCTCGTTTGCAGGAGCCCCACGACCCGATAACCCGAAATCCATCAGAGGGCAGATCATTGAGCAATGCAGAAACTCAAACGTTGGGAAGCTACTGGAATGTGATTTTGGGGAGAGCAAGTGTCATGCACCGAGCAGCATTATGCAAATGTTTCAAGGCTCTCTCTTCTGTCTCCAGCCACAGGGAGACTCTTACACTCGACGATCAGCTTTTGACTCGATGCTTGCCGGTTGCATACCAGTCTTCTTCCACCCTGGATCAGCCTACACTCAGTACACGTGGCATCTACCCAAGAACTACACAACCTACTCGGTTTTCATCCCCGAGGATGATATCCGGAAGAGAAACATGAGCATAGAGGAACGACTCCTCCAGATTCCTCCAGAGCAGGTCAAGATCATGAGAGAGAATGTCATAAACCTCATCCCGGGGCTGATCTACGCAGACCCGAGATCAGAACTGGAGACACTCAAGGATGCATTTGATGTCTCGGTAGAGGCCATAATAGACAAGGTGACTCGGTTAAGGAAGAACATGATTGAAGGTCGGACCGAGTATGACAACTTCGTGGAAGAGAACAGCTGGAAGTATGCGTTGCTTGAGGAAGGCCAACGGGAAGCTGGGGGACACGTGTGGGACCCCTTCTTCTCGAAACCGAAGCCTGGAGAAGATAGCAGTAACGAAGCCAATGGAGGAGGGACGACCATTTCGGTAGATGCAGCTAAGAATTCATGGAAAAGTGAACAGAGAGATAAGACACAGTAAAATGAGACGATCACATATGTTGTTTATGGTTTGAGATATATCTTTTCTTTTTTATTATTCTTATTATACGGACAAAGAAATGATTTATGTTTTGTTGTTGTACTGGTATCAAAAATGTAGCTTCTCCAGGTTTATAGAGATGAGTTTTTCTTTTTCAGAATCTTGTTGTATCTAAAGTATCAGCAACCCACAGAGATTAATAATGACAAGTGGCCCTTTTCATATTTAACTCAAATCAATGCTATGCTCAAACTACTAACTGGTCTAGTTTACCAATCATGTATTGAACTTTTTGTATAGTACCAAAACGGATGTTTTGTTTTATTTGTAAGTAATAATTAAATAAAATTCAAAGGTAACTGTTGGTATGATTGGAATGGAATAAACTCTAGCCAGGAGCTCCACAAAGCTTAGGTGTAGTATTCTTCAACTTCTTAGCTCTTCTCTGGCTTTTCTGGTTCGGAAGGTTTGTCGTCTGTAGCAGCCGAAGGAGGGAGATAGTCAGAGATGTCGATTCTCAAGGTCTGTTGGGGGCCCTCGTTTGAAGGGACGTGGACAAGTGCGTCCATTATCAGAATGTCCCAGTCCCTTTGCTGTAGAAACCCAAACAAGCTATCTTCTGTTCCAAGAAACCCAAAAAAAGGAGTGAGAAAAATGGCAGATGTAGATAATCTAGCATACACTTGCAACATCATCACCACAAGCTGAGCTTTGGAGACTGATGAGATTTTTTACCTCCATTGCGAACAGCTTTGAGATGCAAGATTCCGGTGCCTTGTGGGCCAACCACAGGAAAGGAACAAGACACTGTGCGTCTTTGCTGAGAAACGGCTAGTGATGCATTATACCATGGTCCTTTTTCAATTGGCTCTCCAATGGCTTCGGTCATAGCCTTATTCCTCATCACCTTCTCCATGGCTTTACTGAAAGTTAAGCATTCAAAGACCAAATACTTTTGAGAAATCACCAATGCAACTACCACATTCTTATAAATTATGTCATGTCATGTTATCAATGTGGTGATAGAATGCATAACAAAATAACAAATGAGAACTCCTAAAGATGATTGTTCCGGACATTACTACAGCCTCTTAACTGATTCCTAGTGAGGACATGAAGAATATGGAACAGTTAACTCGTAAACTGGTGATGTAAGGACAAGGTAAACAGAAAGACACACGAAATATCAGACTATATCCTTGTTGATGGTGCTTTGCAGTGAGCGGTGTCAAAACGATGCTCTGAAGCAAAATGTTTAACAAAAACAAGCCAAAATGGAAATAAGTATGGATTTTGGACTACTTTAACCACAAGCGCAAAGAGCTGAATTTCGGTTTGTTTTATTTCCATGTTAATTCCGTAATATTCAAACTAAAGGATTAAACAAAACCTGTTCCCTAACTAAAATCATTCACTTGCTTCTCAACAGAGTCACTCAACTATTCCACAGAACCGATCCACAAAAACTATTCCACAGAACCGATCCACAACTAGCAGTGAAGTTACGCAAAGAATGTGCAATGAACTACAATGGATATGTACAAAGCATTTTTTTTTTGGGTTTCTTTAAATTTATTACCTGCTACAACCGCGATAGATAGAAAGGTCGTCGAGAGCACTCAAAGCAACACCACCAGTGACTGTAATCAAGACAAAAGACATTGCCTTCCGACCAAAAGACCCCAACGTCCCATTTTCTTTCCCTGCTTTCTCCGAGGAGCTGTTCCAAAAACATAAAATTTCTAAACTGAAATGATGCTCCGTATTCTTTCTCTACATACTCAACTCAATCGGATTCTAAAATTTCAGTATTGAAACCCAACAAAACGATTTATAATCTCGATCAAAGCCGAAAAAAACTGAATAACATGGGTCAAACGCAAAAAGGTAACTAAGCTCAATAGTGAAATCGGTATGTGTGGATCGGGTGGGTACCTTGAGGCTGAAGATCGTTTGAAGACAGAAGTGAACCGCCTTGCAAACATTTTTCTCAGGTGATTTTTCTGACGATTTTGACCCAACTCGCTGATTTGACCCGGAATCACTTCGGTAAGGGAAGATCTATAGGGTTTTGGGTTTTGCAGACAACCATTTTAGTATTTCTTTTCAACACTAAATATTCTTTTTTTTTTAGTTTAAAAAAAAAAAAGAAAAAAAAATTTACTGTTGAAATAAAAACGGAATAAACGTGTAAGCCCATGTGCAGCCCATTAAGACATATTCAGCGATCTTTTTTTAACTGAAACAAAGAGAGAGAAAGAAAGCAGATAACTCCGGTTATAAGAATCCCCGCCAATACCGGTGGGAAAAGATTACGTTCGAATCTTCTTCAGACATTCATTGGCTTCTCTCTCCATTCTATTTTCCTCTTAGGGTTTTCGGGTTTATCATACTATGATTCTTTAGGTGAGAATTTCGATTGTGTAATTTGATCATCTCTACTCTTTTGACGTGTATGGATTCAGATTCGATTGTGTTTAGTGTTTTAAAAAATATATATATATATATATATATTTATTGAATAGTGTGTTAGCTTTGGCGATGAAACTGATGCTGCAGTTGTGTTCTGTCGTTTATATTGAGACTCTACCCAAATTATTGTCTTTGTGTTTCAAACCGATTGGTTTTGCATCAAGAACTGCTTCATTTCTTACCATCTGTTTGGTTGCTTGTTTGCAGTTTCAAAATCTGTTTGGTCCTGGGGTTGCATATTTATTTCGCATCTTCAAAAGTCAACAATGGAGACTCGTCCGTTTAGGTCAATAACGAATAGCCTTGCACACACTTCTCCAGTACCAAACCCTTCCGTCGAAGCAGAGATACACAATCAGTACATGGCAAGCCCCTATCGTTTACTCTCTCCTAACGGTGGATCTGCAGTTGGTCACAATATATATTCAAATGAACTTCATAACCCTTCCATGGTGTCTCAAAGTGACACAACTTTCATCCCTGAGATGTTAGATTGGGATCCAGCTTCTTCTATCCCTGCAGACCTTTCTGATTTTCCTTTGGATATTCCCATTCAAATGGAGGAGGAGGAGGATGGTGGCATCCTGGCATCTGATGATATTCACAGACAAATTGACTTGGCAGAATTGGATGAAGATATGATTACTGATGATGATGAGAATCCATTAATGTCTGCTCTCTGGAACGATCTTTTCCTTGACACAAGTTCCACCTCTGCTTCCAAGGTTGTTCTGTTTTCTACTTTTTTTTTATTTCTTGCGATGAATATTGTGTTTCTCTAGTCTCCAAACATGAAGAGACCGATTTTTAAAAAAAATATTGTTGTTTCAGGTCCAGGAACCAACTATGATTATTCAACAACCCCAAGTTGCTATGCACCAGAATTCTCCAATTGTTAGCACAGTATCCTCAAACAGCAACAACAACAGTTTCACCAGTAATAATACTGCGGCAGCAGCTAAGGGACGTGTGCGTTGGACGCCAGACCTTCATGATGCTTTTGTTAAGGCTGTTAACCAGCTTGGTGGCATGGCAAGTGAGCATCCTCTCTGTCCATTTTTCTTTTTTTTACATCTTTTACGACTTTGAATAGAGTAAAAAATGATGAAGCTCTGTTTTTACTGATTGAATGTCTTCTTTTCCTCAAGAGGCAAAACCCAAGGCCGTGCTTAAGCATATGAAAATCCAAGGCCTGACTATATTTCATGTCAAAAGTCATTTGCAGGTTTACTTTTTTTTTTTCTTTCTTCCAGCGTTTGTTCTACTGAATAGTCTGTCCGTAAAAGCTAGCATTATTTTTTTTTTCTTTTTGGCAATTGCAGAAATATAGGACAGCTAGACATGCTCCAGAACCATCAAAAGGTAGATACTGACTCCCCTATTTTCTGATGAATGTTCATATTCTTCTTTCTTATGATGAGGAAAGTATTGTATAGTGTTAGCAGTCTACTGAGCTCTTTTATATTCTGTTTATCTTATTCTAATTTTTATCTTGATATATGTCGTTTAAAGGCTCCACAAATTTCTGAATTTTAAGATTATTCTCTCTAATGGTTTTAGCAGGTTCGCCAGAGACGAAGTTTACAACGGTTGAGCGTGTTACATCTCTTGATACGAAAAGGTGGGGGGTTTGGTAACATCACAGTTTACAAGTCCTACACCATTTCTAACCAGATTCTGTCTAACCAATATTGATTTCGCAGTGGGATGTACATAACTGAGGCGCTGCGGATTCAGATAGAAGTTCAGAAGCAACTGCATGAGCAGCTCGAGGTACAACTATATGCCTTGTTTAGCTATGTATTAATGTAATTCGTTGCAAACAGTTGAACCAATGGATTGTTCTAATGTGGTTTCAGATTCAAAGAAAGATGCAACTTCAGATAGAAAAACAGGGAAAGGCCCTGCTCATGATGATTGAAAAGCAAAATTTGAATTTTGGCCAACCGGAGAGAGAAGAGGAGGCAGATTCTCGGCGATCAAAGCGTCCAAGAAACAATGAATGAAGGGAATTCTTGAAACGTTGTAGAGTTTTGGTGAAAAGTTGTAGAGTTTGAGTTATTTAGAGTAGGAGCTTTATTAGTGCCTTTTCTCCCTTTGTTTTTTCTCTCTTTAGTAAAACTTATTTTCTGATTCAGCTCACTAGGAAGAAACAAAAATAAAGAGCAAGAATTTTTGCAGAATTTTCCAATGTTTAGGATGTAATCTGAATGCAGATCAAATTTAGTGTTTAGGCATTTTTATTTACATATATAAGCATACAGCTCTTGTAAAATATTAACTAGATTTTGACCCGCGCAACCGCGCGAGTGTTTGTTTTCGTTTATAGTTAGTTATATAAACATTTTGTTTTCATTTGTAAATTGGTATATATTATAGTAATCACATATTTACGATATGTATAGTAAATATTTTTCAAACATAATAATATTATATAATAAGTGTTTTAATCAAACAAATTGTTTCAAATTTTCTATATTATACATGTTTTTCAAACATGTGTTTGTTTCTTCTTCTATATTTTATTGTTTGTTAGATTAGTATTTCATTTTTAGATAAAGTAATATAAATAGAGCTTGATTAAATATTAGTGTAATTTAATTTGCAAAGATAATATAAAATTCGAAGAATTTTTTGCTAAAAACTAAACTTATAGCTTCATAAATTAATATTATAAAGAATTTTATTAAGAAAAGAATTTTTTAAACAATTTCTTTTTTTTAAACAATATAATTTTAAAAATTCACATCAAAATAAATTTAATTAATATATATAGCGTGTAAATTTTGTTAGGGTATATAAATATTTCATATTACTAATTTGTGATTTATGTTAATATATCGTGGATGCATTTAACTATTATTGACATATTTCCTTATAAATAATAGAAGATTCCTAAACTTATATCTATTAACATATTTTGCGTGACTAAGTTGGAAGGTGTGATTTAATTTACCAAAACCAAATTGTTAAGTGTATTATAAGATATAATAATGATAAGATTATTAGAGAGTTAATGTAACATAATTTTCTAGTAATAGTTCATTTTTAAAAAAATCACACATGAAATCAAGTCATGACTTCTGTTTTAATATATAAGATTCATCGGTATGAGATGCAAAGAAACACATGGATGGAGAGGAATGAAACCAAGGAAAAATGTATTCACGTGGGGCAGTTGCCACCATCTGCTCTATTAAGATAGCTCTATTAAGATAGAATCATTCTTTTTATTTACTAACTAGGATAAGATCCGCGCCTTGCACGGGATGAAATTATTATTTTTATTATGTTTTGGAAAATAAAACAAAAGTTCGGTTTTATCTAGACTAAGAATGTTCAATCTGGATATCGGGTTTCAGTATTTTGGTTATTAAAATATAACTATTATTCTAAATCCATATTTAGTTCAGTTTGATTTGGTTTATATATTGGTTTTCAGTTTATTCAATTTTATACCAAAATACATCATTATTTAGTTTGAAATCATATTATATATTATAAAAAATAAATAATTTGATCATATTTAGAGTCATATTATCAAAAAGTCATTTACTAAAAAAAATATTATATATTTAACTAAAAGAATAAAAAACAAAAAAGGCTTTTATGATCTAATAAAATAATCAAATCTAGAATTAATATCAAATCTCTAAATTTTGAAAATAAAAATAAAATCAAAACAGAAGCATGAAAGAAAAGTTTTTATATTCTTCCATATTTAGTGTTCATCAAATTAATATGTCTTCGATTGAACACAACTTTGTTTGTTTAAAGATTAAAAAAATTGTAAAGAATTTCAACTAATTGCTGTCCATCAAATTTATAATTTTTACTTCAATTTAGTTTTTATTAAAAAAAGAAAAAAAGATAAAAAAAAAAGACGAAGATAATAAGAAGCCTCAGTTGCATTAAATTGTTAGTTAATTATATTTCAAGTGATTCAAGTGATTTACAAATCATAATTATAGTTCAATTCATGTAACAAATAGATATACATATTTACATGTTTCAGTTTAATCGATTATAAATCAAACCATATTCAAATCTTACGGTTTTTATAAAATCACATACATTCGGTTTGTATGGTATATACCAAAAATAACCATATTATCGATTGTGTTAATATCTTTAAAAATTGGAAAATTTAAAAAAAAAGAACTAATATATTTAAATCATTGATAACAAAAAATTTTAATGTGAAAAGTTTAATACGTTTATAATTTATAAATGTTCTTGAAAATTCATTGAAATTTTTGAAATTAAAATAAGTATGTAATCTTATATGGTATATAGTTTAATCTATATATTTTTTTTTATTATTATTGAATGATACTTTTTACTCATATAGTTTTAAAATCATGTGTATCTTTTTATAATAAAAATGTTAAACTACTGATCATTAACTTTTAACATAATAATTTTAATAGTTTTAGTCATTTATTCTTGGTTTTTTTAAATTCAAAATATAACATATACGAAAAAAATCTAAATTTTAGTTTTCTAGCTAATTTGATAGTTTTATTTATTTTAATAATATAAAATTAAAGAAAAATGATGGAGGAGATACAAATTGTTATCAAATATTTATTATTAGAAACATTAGTTGTCATATATATATATATATATATATATATATTTGTCATTTATGGTAATTCTGTAGCTTTTATTTAAGGAAAGAAAATAAAATAGTAATTATATCTAGCAGGACAATCATAAATGCTTCTATCATAAATATTATATCATATAGTTTGACCAACAAATATATCTAGGGACATATAAAAATCGAATGTGGACCTACTTATTTTTCAATTGAAAGTAATTGACTACCTAATTGAGTGACACGTAAGCATGAACTCTTTTTTAATTATTACAAAATTGAGGTTACAATTTTTCAAATGTTTCTCAATTAATATATAGGGGATACAAGTTACAAATAATACAAACCATATAGTTAATTGAACCACATTATTTAAGTTAAACCGATGGTTATTTATAGGATATAATTTTAGGCTTTCTTTGTTTTTAGAACAAATTATATGGTTTAGTTTTTGGATTTAGTATTAATGAAAAACTCCAAAAAACATTGAATAAACTTTCCACCTTAGTGGATCAAAAAATCTTTTTATTATTTTCAAGCCCAAAAGTGTTTAATATTTTTAACAAAACAAAATTACCTATTATTAATCATTTATTTAAATTATGTACGTTAAAACGTGTTAATGTATTTTTTATTTTAAATAATAGTTACTTTGTTTTGATAAATTTCAATGGTAACTTTTAAATAATTTATTTTTTTATTTTTATTAAATAATTTACTGATTTTAAAAAATGTAAAGCAAAACCAAAATCCAAATCTAAAAACTAAAATCCAAAACCAATGGCTGAAAACGCAGATTATATTTTTTGCTTTTTTTTTATTTACAAAATAAACTATTGCAAATTTTTTTTAAAAAAATATTGTCATCTTTTTCAGTTTTAAATTAAATGTTCGATTGTTTGAGACTTGTTTGTTGGTAATATCAGTTCAAACTAACTCAGCGGGTCTAAAAATTAAAAACTCAAACCAAAAGCTGAAAATCAAAAATAGAAACTTAAAAACCAAAAACCAAAATCTAAAATAAAATATAAAAATAAAATCTGAAACTAAAAATGAATGAAAATTAATCATCACCACAAATTTTGGTGAACTGATTTTATATCAAAATATTCTTTAAATTAGTATAAAACTTAATTATATAAAATTTTAATCATAAAAAAATTTCACGCTTGAAAGACACGGATTAAAATTTGGTAGATTTTAAAAATTCAGTATATTTTTAATTTTTTAACAAATGCCCTATTGATATTGTTGATAAATTATATGTATGCCCAAGATCAAAATAACTTCTAGATCCGCCCTTTATTGCAGTTCTTCTGTACAATAATTGTTTTTTCAAAGAAAAGTCATAAAATTTAAATTAATAGTATGTGAACTTAATTTAAAATATTAGATATTTCTTTCCTTCCTATATTCCTGTGTGTGATTAGCTCATCAAATCATTAAGAATTTAAATTGATAATTTTATTAATCAAAAAAGTAATAACTTTAGAAATGAGTATGTCAATTCTTTTTGTTTATAAGTCTGTGTACATCTTTCCAAGTGTAAAGATAAGTGGAAAATACAAGAAAAGTCAAATTTAGCTAAAAATTCATATTAAAAAGTGTAAATACACTTACTTATATATTAATTTATACTTAGTGTTTCATTTGTTTTTAATACATTTTAACAACTCATTTTTTTATGTTTTGATTTATGATTTATTTTTAAAGTCAAATACATCATCACATCTTCTATTCTATTAAAATAGAGTCATTCTTTTTATCTAATGATACAGATTGTCATTTAAATTTGAACCCTTTCTAGAATGTTACAAATAATATAAGTCATATAATTGATTGAACCGTATTACTTAAATTAAACCAACACAATTAATGTAAAAAGACGACCTTAATGTAAACTACCTTCAAAATACGACAGATATATATGTGTATATCGAAAACACATATTTTCTCCTACAAATATGGAATGTTTAAAAAGAATATATATCATCAAAATATTGAATATGTAAATCTACTAATTATACTTAAATTAAACCAGTGGTTATTTATGGAATATAGTCTTGGGCTTACTTTTATTTTTTTGAACAAATTATATAGTTTGGTTTTTGGGCTTAATATTAAGAAAAAACTCCAAAAACATTGAATAAACTTTTCACCTTAAAAGATCAAAAAATCAATTATTATTTTCAGACCCAAAAGATATTTAATATTTTTAACAAAACAAAATTATTTATTATTAATCATTTATTTAAATCATGTACTTTAAAACATGTTAATATATTTTTTTCTTTTAAATAACAATCACTTTGTTTTGATAAATTTCAATTGTAACTTTTACATAATTTATTGTATTATTTTTCTTAAATAATTTACTAATTAAAAAATGTAAAGCAAAACCAAAAACCAAATCTAAAAACTAAAATCCAAAACCAAAAGCTGAAAACACATATTATATTTTTTTTTGCTTTGTTTATTTACAATATAAACTATTTCAATTTTTTTTTTAATTTGTTTTCATATTTTCAGTTTTAAATTAGATGTTCGATTATTTGAGGTTTGTTTGTTGGTAATATCAGTTCAAACTAA